TAATTAGCTGACTAAAGAAATCTATCAAGTTTCTAGCTGAGCAGCAAACCGTTATTAAGCTAATTAAATTTTGATCACTTTACCATTAATACCAATCTAACAACTTATTCATTTTAATATCATGATAATACAATCTTAGCAAAAATAAAGCAATGTTTGTATTACAAAAAGTTATGAACACTTAAAAAAAACAAATGACTGGAAAATGTAACTTTTCTGAAATAAATTTTAGAACAATTCTCTAATTATGCAGTTCTTATTACAATATGATTTGATGATATTTTTTAAAGTTATATTAGTAAGATATCTTATTTCAAATGATTTCTGGGTTTAGAAACAAATTTTATAACTTTTGGGTTTGGAAGTTACCGTGTTAGTGGGTTAAATGGTTTTCTTAGAGGAGGTGAGAGAATTTTTTTTTTAAAATCAACTTAGCTAGTAATGATGAAACTGTGAAGCATATGTTGATTAGACCCAATGTTGATGTGTTAGATCTTATTTTGCTATGTATGAAATAAAAGAAAAAAATACTCTTTCTTTCCTGCAATAAACCAATACTATGTATGTTTGTGTGTTATGCATGTGTATATATGTGGCAATCTTCTGTATATTGTGTGTGTGTATAGATGTGGCAATCTTCTGTGTTGTGTGTGTGTATAGATGTGGCAATCTTCTGTATGTTGTGTGTGTGTATAGATGTGGCAATCTTCTGTGTTGTGCATGTGTATATATGTCTCAATCTTCTGTATGTTGTGTGTGTGTATATAATATGGATGTGGAGATGTTCTGTATGTTTATATGTGTTTGTGTATAGATGAGTTTCACCTTGAATGTTAAATTATAGAAGTGATTTCTTTTTGACTTGTTTCTACCTAATATGTCTGCTCGACTTATTTCCAACATGGATGTCATTCACGTTTGCATCTTATTAGCGTATCATTTTTATGAGTGCTGTTTTCAATAAAGGTGATGACCAATATAGGCTCTGACTTGTCTCATGTCTTAAAGACTTTCTTTCTACTGTCCAATCCGTGACGTTTGTCTGTATGTTTGTAGAATAATTATAATTTTATTATTGACACACTTGACTCTCTTGCTCGGTTCATCCTCTCTCACGCTGACCTGAAAGGTCGGCTGGGTTGTTGACACAGAGTGGCGATTCCGATATGCTGGGTCGAGGGAGGCCGAGCGCAGTTGTTGATCTTGGTTGAAAGCTGCTTCTTTCTATGAACGGTGGGATAAGGGTGGTTAAGGGAGCTCAGAGGATTTTGGGGAGAAAGCTGGTGCAGAAAAAGCCGAACTAGTTTTATGCCTAGGTAAAAGAGTTGAGTCATTTTAACTGGGATTTTGTAAGCATTTGCTGTTCTGAAAGGTAAGTAATTCTCCTCTTGTCGATAATTTAAAGTTTTAACACTCTGTACACAAAATTAGATGATACAAAATATATACGTATTTTAAATTTCTATCAAAGACGAGTTTAAATGCAGGAAATATTTAAAAAATCAATTTTTAAAAAATATAAAACCTTAAAGTTTCATTAATTTTAATTCGATTTCTTTGCCTACCGGTATATAGACCATGCATTAGACCATACATTTTAAGAAATTTAAAAATTACTTTCTGATTTTTAGTGTGTTTAATCTCGTCTTTGATAGATAGTATTTTGTTTTTAGATTTTTAAATTTTATTTTTGTTGGATTTTTTTCCTTTCTCATTTGGAGTTACTTCCATCAGCTGTCGCTTTTGTCGACTAATAAACCATCCATATATAGATATATGGTAAATAAAGGCGATGGAGTTGAGATGTTGCTGAAGCATTCTTGGCATCCGCTATAGGGATCATATCTCCAATGATCAAGTGAAAGAAAGGGTTCGTCCGGCAATTGGGCAGTACGATGACCTCCTGGTGACTGTAAAAATGCGCAAACTACATTGATATGACCACGTGACAAACAAGGGCTCGCCAAAGAAATCATACAGGGCACCCCAAGAAAGAGATCGGAAGATAACATCAAAGAGTGGACGGAACTAAAACTAGGCCATGCTGGGCGTAGTGCAGAAGGCAGAGTTGAATGGAGGAGGATAGTTCACATGTCATCTGTGGCGCCCCAACGGTCCAATGACTAAGGGACATGATGATGATGATATAATACAGTACTTGCGCTTAAAAGTCAAATATTCGGCCCGCCTCCTCCCTGTTGCAAGCGTACTTTTGGGGGGCAAACCCTTTAATGCAGGCCTGCACAACATACGGGCCACTGCTGCCCGCCAGCACCAACTTTTTGGCCCGCAAAGTAACGAAATATTCTTTTTTTTTTACTATTATCTTAATGGCCTTCCCCCTGTCCTATTTTATTTTCGCCTGCACAAGTCCTGTCCTATTTTCTTTTGGCCCGCACAAGTCCTGTCCTATTTTTTTTTTGGCTCGCACAAGTCCTGTCCTATTTTCTTTTGGCCCGCACAAGCCCTGTCCTATTTTCTTTTGGCCCGCACAAGATTTTCATAAAGTTTTACCGCCCGCCTTACATTTTGAGTTGTGCAGCCCTGACTTAAACGGTAGACATAATGAGCTTTCATATATATATATATACCGGTGGACCAAAAAATCTGATAACATCGATTTATTGTCAGTCATTGTCAGATGCCTAAAAAGGCGCCAACGGTTACAAAAAGTCGTTGAGAAGCAGGGCGAATGGGTGGCAGGGAAGACAGATTGAACATGTTTTCTGATTAGCGTTATAATTTTCATAAAACTGTCAATGGCAAAACATAATATTAACTCAATTAAAAGACCCTTTTCTACGAGATGTTCTCACTTTTTCTGGGCCACCCTGTATATGCTATTTGTGGACTGTCAGCAGCGTTGCAGGAAAATTATTGCGGAATTTGTGAATAAATGTAGCACTTTCTGCTGGAAACCACCTCCCCTGGCCATACGCACGCTTACGCAAAACCTCCAAAATCGACAACCCCCTCAACTCTCAGTGACAGTTCGCACGTACTATATGGATGGTCTCTAAGGTGGCAGCCAGGATTTGGGCCGAATCAAGCAGCTATGTAGTCCAAAGGTCTCATTCTATTGATGTCGTCAACACAGTTGCTTCATGCAGATAAAACCATTCATAAATGAGAAGAAAATATGGCAAATTTAAATGATTAAAATATATATATAAATAGATTTCAACTATATCAATGAAGCTCAAATTATTATCATTTTAAGTTGATTGCTCCATTTTACCATGAATAAAGCAACCTATCAAGAGTATCGTGATAATATGCAGTGGCGTATCTAGGGTTGGTGTCACCGGATGCGGTAAACTCATGGTCAACCCCCACCCCGTCACGATAACTCATCATAGAAAGAGTTTAATTTTGGAACGGACACCAATAACTCTTCTCCATTCACTTGCAGATAGTAGACTCTTGGGTTGAACACCCCCAAACATATCTGTTACCTCCTGGATTGCTGTGGGTCTGATCTGGAGTTCAGAATGGAAGCGATCAATGCACTCCAGCATCTCCCTACTGTGTTCGTCTCACAGAGAGAGTCCAGCATCCATTAATTGTTCTCCTGCCATTCTCTTCTTAAACCTCAATCTTCTCTCTACCAAAACTACATATTGGTCTGATTTTAAAAGGGCCTTTTCAATTGCATGTTTCACCAAATGACTCAGATACTGCTATGTAAGATTAAATTCCTCAAGTATATAAACGTGAAATCACAGACAGCATGTAAAAGACCTTTTGCTGTATGACAATCGATCTCAAATTTAAGAGGCGGTGCTAGTGACGAATCGGCGAAAATATTAATTTTAGGGTATTTCTGGGTTTCGATATATTTCTTTTTAAAAAATTAATAAATTTAAATAAATTAAAATTAATTATCAAAAGATATTAGTTAATTTAGTAAAATATTATTTTGTTAATCCTGTAAATGGATAAAAGTAATTTGTTTAATGTTTTTTTAATTTTTACCGATTTGATTCATGAACTTAGAATCGCCCGACCACATCGTATTTGGTACAAAAGGAAAGTTTCATTTCTCATAATTTACATATATACTATAGCTTTCTGACACTTACGAAAGTCACCAAACACTTCAATCTGCGTTGAATCATTGTCAAAACGGTGTTTTTCTGATCTAATAATGGGTCACCTCATTTTCGACGCACAAAGTTTGAACTTTTAATAAAGCCCACATTTGGATTGTTTACATGGATCGGTTATCCTTTTATGAAATTTGGTTAGACCGAACAGTTAGTGCTCTGTAAAGATGCAATTTTTAAATTTGGTGTCACCCCCTGGGATGGTGACACCCGGTGTGGACTGCACTCCTCGGGCCTCTAGCTCTGCCACTGATAAAATGATTCATTTTTTACCCATGAAACTATCGCTCTAAAACTGACGCTCACATTGGGTGCGTGTTTGGTGAATGGGTAGTTACAGTAGGAACAGTTGAATGGACAAATCTTTTACATTTTATAATAAAATAAAAACACTTAGGCTTTTGATTATAATAAGCACGCTTCCGGTTCTAAACATAGAGCTACATAGACTACTTTGACTACATTAAATTCATTGACTACATTCACTACATTGAATTCATTGACTACATTCTTATTCTTCTATATATTAAGGGCCCACGATCAATTTTTGATCATTTTGGCTGATATGCATGCAGAAGGGTTTTTGCAATGTTTCTGTGCCTGGTGAGGATATTTCACTGGTTGCGAAGGCTACTTTGACCACATTAACTTCACATACATTTTCTAACACTTACGTTTTTAATTTCGAATTTTCTGGGTTTTTTCTTGTCTGTTGAAGAAGGCGTCTAGCAGAAAAATCTTTTTAATAGTCCTATTTTTTTTCTTTCAAGCCTAACCACATATTGTTAAACTATTTCCCTCATCTACTCATCACCTTAAAGAGTTGCACACCATGTAAGCGGGAAGCTCCGTAATGACGCCATCATATCGGAAGCACACCCGAGAACTCCACCTGGCGTTATCATGGATCTTATCAAAGTAACTGTGGTTTAAATGTTTGATGCTACAACACTCAGCTCCAGCCAGATGTCGTGGCGCTAGGCTGTGATGCATGCAGAGAACGGCTTCTCAGAATGAGTGATCGCTCCGAAGCGGCGCTGCTGCCGACAGCTTCGGACTGGGACACGATCGTGGAAGCAGCGTCTCTTGCAGCTCATGTAAGTCGGAAGGTTACGAATCGTAAACACACCAAACACTATTTGATGGCCATTCTGTGCCGAGAAATTTAAACCAACAAGTGCTCTGCTTAGTTACATTAGGGGTCGTTCATAACGGATGTCTGAAAGAGGAGGATATGTTCAAACGCAGACAAGTGTTGATGGCATACAGGATCTTGCGGACGTCCATTCGGTAGTATTTTTTGTTACATGCTGCTTAAAGCTCACTGTATGTTCAAAGATTTAAATTGTGGACATCCTCTATAGCTGCACTGAACGTCCTTCGCTTGGAGGATCTATATGAAAAAAGAAAGATTGGTATAAAACTAAGCATATTTTGGATGATAAATCCCACTCAAATCATCACAGATACCTAAGACCTAACATCAGATCAATCAGGCCCTGATTCAGGGCGAATTCTTTCTCTTAAATTTAGGACCGAAAGATATATAAATTATTTTCTTCCACAGTATCTCATACTTGAGAATAAAGCATCGGGGCGCCACAAGGTTGCCTTCTCTCCCCTGTCCCGCATAAATATATACCATTGATAATCAACACCGTTCTAATTAGAGAACGACCGAAAGGGATTTTCTGATTTCGGCCGATACCGAAATTAGGCCGAAAGTTAAAAATGACTTTTGGCCGAAACCGAAACCAAAGGCTTAACGAGACTTTCGGCTGAAACCGAAGCCGAAACCAAAAGCTTAATGATACTTTCGACCGGAGCCGAAACTGACACGAAATTCGATCACGCACACTTTCTGCATACATCGAAAATGATGGGGAAATTACCAGTATTTACATTCTCTTTATAAACAATGAGATTATCGGGAATATTAATAAATATTCATCTAATGCAAGGGTCTTAAATTCGCGGTCCGCACTACGTTATTTTGCGGTCCGCTAAATACTAAATGACAGCAAAGTTTAGTGTTAATGAGGATGGCGCGTTTTCCCCATTCTCATAAGTATAATGCGACCCTTCGCGAAAGTTTCAGTGGAATGTCACCAACTAGTGTAATTCTGATTTTTATTATGTTTGCGTATTATATGTTGATTAAAATGGTAGGAACCGTTTTTAAAATCGGACAAAAAGTTTTTATTTGATAGCATTTTATGAGACAAACATGACCAAAGTGCGGTTTTCAGAAAAGTTTTTAAAAGTCAGTTAGTGGGTAATGCACAACCATAATTGTGTAAATCGTAGCAATCTGACACAGTACCAAATAATCACTATTAAAATTGCCGCTAGTGTTTACGAGTGAGGAAAATTCCGAGCCTGTCAACTTGGTCAATATCAAAATAGGATTAATCAAAAAGGCCTTTTCTTCGATAAAAAATAATCAAAATTCATTCTCCCTACAATAGCTTTTTCTTTCGCATAAATAATTCATAATTCTGACCCGCTCCGGCCTACTGTTTGGATACGTTTCAGTTTTCAAAGCCTTCATGGAGAAGGATGGGGTGGTTGTTCCTGTACTAAGTGACCCCCGAATGGCCCATGAAAACACTTGAACAACTATTTGCAGACAGATGTTATTCTAAAACTAAACACATTTTTGATGAATCATCCCACCCTCTTCATCACAGATCTTTAATTATGGATTTAATAGGCAAGTTTTATTGAAATGTAGAGGCTGCCCGAATATCACGGGTCTTGGCGGAAAGCTATTACAAAAAAAATTATAATAATAAAGAATAGTTCGATACATGGGGGCACGCGAAATTGATGCTGGCGGGTCGCTTACAGCCCACGGGCCCTATTTTGTGCACGCCTGTCTTAGATGTCTTAGATGTCTTGTGTTTCAATTAATATAACTGGAAGATGTTGTCTTGGTTTTAAAAAGTACTTATTTATGTGCTGAAAACGAACATGTAGAATGTAATCGATAAACATTTAAATTTATTTGGTTCAATATAGAATCTTATCTTCTCTCTTTGTGAAATAATTATTAGCTTAAACCACCAAGAGAACTGCATGAGGCAAATCACTCTTGTCATTTGGTTGCTCTTTATCAACACATGCCCAATGCGAGTTGGAAATGTTATCTACTTCTCAGTTATGTTGCTCTTCATAATAGTTATTGTACTTCCTGGAATTTTGTATAGAATAATGCCGAGATGAGGAAGTTCACAAACGAATACCCGTGCTACATATGACTGGTATATATCACTGGTATATATCCTTAGTACAGATCCCTAGTACATATTCTTAGTACATATCCTTAGTACATATCCTTAGCACTTATATCCATAGTACATATTCTTAGTACATAACCTTATTACATATCTCTAGTATATATCCATAGTACATATCCTTACTACATATCCTTAGTACATATCGCTATATATAGAACATATCCTTTGTACGTATCTCTAGTACATATCTTTAGTACATATCCCTAGTAAATATTCTTAGTAAATATCCCTAGTACATATCTTTAGTGCATATCCTTGATACATATCCCAAGCACATATCCCTAGTACATATCCCTAGTGCATATCCATGGTACGTATCACAGGTAGATAACACTAGTACATATGGCTAGTACATATCCCTAGTATATATCCTTAGTATATACCCCTAGTACATATCACTGGTATGTATCACTGGTACATATCCCTAGTATGTGTCCCTGTATTCTTGGAGGGTACGTAAGCCCAGAGATAAAAAGAAATACCCAATCATAAAAGTCGGTAGCAAGCTTGTCTTCTCTGAGATGCTATTCAGAAGTCATTAGGGAGCTTCCAACTTGTCTTCTCTGACATGCTATTCAGAAGTCTGTAGGGAGCTTCCAACTTGTCTTCTCTGACATGCTATTCAGAAGTCATTAGGGAGCTTCCAACTTGTCTTCTCTGACATGCTATTTAGAAGTATGTAGAGAGCTTCCAACTTGTCTTCTCTGACATGCTGTTCAGAAGTCTGAAGGGAGCTTTCTACTTGTCTTCTTTGACATGCTATTCAGACGCACAATACAGTGAGCGAAATAAAAGGAAATCAATGTATCAGACTACATTAAACAAAATAAAATCATTCTATTGATAGTGTATTGGTAATACATGAAATCAATAGGTACCTTCCAAATTTGATCTCTGTATGAAATGACACAGTGCACTGTTTACCAGGACATGCAATATAAATGCTGTATGCAATAAACTAATTTCTTTCTTCCTGGCAGTGGTAGACTGAAGTACAGATTGCCGTAGCGCCCCGGAACAAAAATCTTTAATTAGGGCTTTAATAGGCAAGTTTTATTGCAATGTAGAGGCGTCCCCAATATCATGGGTCTTGGCGGAACTCCGGAAATTTGTGGGGTGTCCTGGCATCGCAGTCCACCCCTGCTTCCCGTGATGAACTAGTATACAAATATTATTTTAATTGACGTTCTTAAATGATCATCAAAAGTTTGACACAATGGATGTTCTTAATTTATCATCAAAACTTTGAAACCATGAAAATCATGGAGGTTTGAATAGTTTGAGTTTCTGTTTTTCAATGATGACAATATCCACTCCATAGTTGGTCATGATCACTCCATAGTTGGTCATGATCACTCCATAGTTGGTCATGATCACTCCATAGTTGGTCATGATCACTCCATAGTTGATCATGATCACTCCATAGTTGGTCATAATCACTCCATAGTTGTTCATGATCACTCCATAGTTGATCATGCTTAGGGAGATAAGTCAATAAAAATTATTATCGCATTGATAGAAAATATGAGACTCTTTGAGACTCTATATGAGACTCCCTACATGAGACTCTAAATATTTCTTTATAGTAAAAGAAACTAGGTTTTCTTGAGCTTTGCTGGAACATTTCTTGAAATTTTCTTGAACATTACTTGAGCTTTTCTAGAACATTTCTTGAACTTTTCTTTAATATTACTTGAGCTTTTTTAGAACATTTTTTGAACTTTTCTAGACCATTTCTTGAACTTTTCTTGAATATTAATTCAGCTTTTTATTATTGTTTTTTTAAATCTGTTTTGATAATAATATTACTGCATTTGTAAGTTTGCGAATGATATGAATTCAAATAGGAAATGAAAATAATTTTATGTCATCAAAGATTTTGATAATTTTTCCAATTGTTTACGCGTCTCGGTCCAATTAAGTTCAGGTCCAACCATGTTTAAAAATTGTGTTTTCTTTTCTATTCACGCTATTAATATTTTACCTTTCCATGGACATCATTGAGACGACAAATCTGTTCCTTCCAATGTTCCATGGACATCATTGAGACGACAGATCTGTTCCTTCCAATGTTCCATGGACATCATTGAGACAACAGATCTGTTCCTTACAATGTTCGTTTGTTTTAAAAAGTAATTTCAAAATACATTTTTCCTGAAACACAAATCTTATTATTTTTCCCCAATACCAGGAAACAAGACACGATTGTACGGAACCAAACCATAGCATTGACAATCCACAAATCTTGAATGTCACTACGGATAGCATTGACAATCCACAAAACTTGAATGTCACTACGGATTATACGTCAGTTCCCACATCAAGGTCATTCCCGCTGACTTTACGCTCTGATTTAGGATTGTCCAGGTCTACCTTCAGTGAACCCTGTGGCCTACAGATCAATGCCCACGACGCGGTCCGTGAACCCTGTGCCCTACAGATCAATGCCCATGACGTTGCCCGTGAATCATGTGGTCTACAGATCAATGCCCACAACGCGGCCCATGAACCCTGTGGTCCACAGATCAATGCCCACGACATGGCCCGTAAAGCAAATGCAGAGAATAAACAAACACTTGAACATTTAAGAGAAGAAACTGCTTCCAAATCTCTTGTCGAGCGACAGAAGATGGGTAACTGTCCGTTGTCCGACACCAAGGTCACAGAAACGTATGGAGGCGACACTGCCAAACAGGTAGTGGGGACGAACATCGAGGTGAGGAAACCGGAAGCATCTGATTCAAAGTGTGGAGATCGCCGCTGTCCTGTGGCTCAGCGAAATGAATGCTGTCTCAAAAGCAAGCCACATTCACCTGCGAGGTTTCTAGAATGCTGTCTTGCAGCTGAAGATGGTGCCAGAGTTTCGTTCACCTATCCTTACCTCAAAAATCAACCGGAAGTGTTTGTGTGTGGACAAGTTCCAGATCAAAATGCTGGCGACAGGCGGGGGCTTAGTGAAGGCTCATCACTGCAGATCCTCAACAATGGGGCACAACCCTGCAGTTGCGCCATGTCAACAGGTGGAGATAATAACCTAAACGTGGATGGTTTACTCAGCTCAAAAATCTGTCATGGAAAGTACGGCGATATACGTGTGTCGGATAGCGGTATCCACTCGGAAGGAGACTGCTGTAGGATATGCCAGGAAGACGGCACCTATGAGAAACTTATCTCCCCTTGTTATTGCTCAGGAACTGTGGGCTTTATGCATTTGTCTTGTCTTGAAACCTGGCTCGGCCTCAACGGTAGAACAGCGTGCGAACTCTGCTTATTTCCTTTTCCTGTTGTCAAAATCCAGCCCAGCATTTGGCAGTTCTTTAAGCGACCGTTGGTCAATATGGATTTCGCCAGCTTGCTGTGTGACATAGCATGTTTTTGTGTACTCACTCCCTTATTGGTAGCCAGCACGTACCTGTGTAGCATGGGTGTTAGCCATTATCAAGAGGTTGGTAAGACCGGCTCTGTCTTCGCCATAGTCACCTTGATGGTGTCGCTGATAGCCGTGTACATTTCGTGGGCCGTACTAGCCATTCTGTACCACAGAAGGGTGTTCATGACTTGGCGGGAGAGAACAGCTCGCATTCGCATGTGGACGGACAAGACTTCGTCCCCGGCGCCGACCAAGATGCCAGACGTGAGCGATGACTCGGTCAGTACAACCCATTCGAGGATGGGCTCTTTCGCATCAAGGAGACTCTCGGGCACGTCTATACTTCTGAAGCCCATTCTGTGGTACTCGGGCAGTTTGCGCTCCCAGCGACTCACATCCCGCACACCGTTTGATCAGGACGTGAACTCAAATCGCCAAAGAAACTCTCAAGGAGAGAGGAACGACGGCATGAACAGAACATTTGGGAAAACCCAAAGAGCAAGATCCCGCCAGCCGTGCTCGTGCTGCTCCTCGCTGAGGCCGGATCTCAAACTGTGTCCATTTTTGTCGAAACCGACACTTCCGCCATTGCCATCTTGTCTAGATGTACATTCGCTAAAATCGTCCCCTGAAAATGGGGCACAGTGTTCAGTTAACAGCAATCCGTAACATCATTATGAAGCACAACTCTGTTCAAATGTTCATAGCGAAATGCAAATCAATGAGATTATCTACCCTATAAGCTGAACAGAATAATATGTTATTGGCCTAGAACAGAATACATAGAATTAATATTTAATTGACCTATGAATATTTATAAACAGCAATTAACTACATTTTATACTTTCTTTCTTTTGAAGGACTCCAAGGGTTAATGTCGTTTTTCAGTTTTGTTTATTTTGAAATGAGTAAAACATTTAGGGATACTATTTTTTATAGTAAACAATTTCCTATTGTTCTTGTAAAATCTGAGTCCCTCCTTCCAATGACGCTATGCTGACGTCAGCATCTGTGGCTTACAAATTTCGGATGCGAGTCTTCGTTAGCGTTTTACTACTGGTTTGTTGTCATGGACACTTTTATATGGGGAAAGTATCTATTGGTTCAAACAAACACGGTATGAACGGCTTTCGGGGTGGAAAGGGAAGACAATCTTCTACTACTAATTTTTAGTATTGCCGGCTAGTATCAGGCGTCCTTAAACAGAACAAAATGTGTGTAAATATTACAGCGTAATTTTTTTTTAAAGTTTGCGAGTCTAAAAGAAAAAAAGAATTGGAAAAGCTCTCTTAAAATAACGACACAACTTAAAAATATAAAGAAATCTTCAACACTATAATTTCTGTTATTATATTTCAGCAATAGGAACTATCTTTTGAATTAGAATTCATTCTTAAAGGATTATATATTAGGGACAGAAGCTCTCTTTTGAGTTAGAAGTCATTTTTAAAAGTATTAGTATTATATTTCAGGGATAGAAAATCTCTTTTGGGTTAGATGTCATTTTTTAAAAGTAAACTAATTTAGAATTTTTTTTGGGGGGAACCACATGCCATTTTAGATGAGTAATTTTTAAAAAAAACTTAACCGCATCCAGTCATTCCGGAGCCTTGGTTTGCTGACCACTGCTCCATTTCGTTGACCAGCTGAGAAGGTGTTTAATGTCACTTCTACTTCTCCGCTAACAAATACAATTATACTTTTTCCTCCAAAGATCATGATGTTGTTTTATTTAAAACAAAATTTTAAATGGGAAGATTGCTCAGGTCAGGGTCAAATTTAGCTCCTCTCGCTCGAAACAATAAAAGTAGTTCCAATAAAATTTCTGTGTTCACTTGTTAGATTAATACTACCGTGAAATCATCAAAAGTAGTTCCATAATAGTTTATTTGTTCAAGTGTTACGTTGCCATCTTCCTCTTCTTTCCTCACCAATTTTGATTGTTTAATTTTATCCTTAGCTTCACATTAACAAACTTTTCATTTCACATATTATTATTGTGGGTATTTTACAGTTTACAAAATTGGAACAACGTTACTTTTGTAGAATACAATTTGGTGCGCAAACCAAACATGTATATGTTACTCTTATTGCGTATACAACAAATAACCCGCCAAGCAAAGGCGGTGACAATGTGTGTACTTCCGGTCAACTAAAGTTTCATGACAAGGAGAAAATAGAAGACAATAGACACCACTATCATAAGAAACTTACGCTAGTGAGACTTGGTCCCTTACCAGAAAAGCAGAGAACCTGATCAATACATGGGAGAGGAAAATCCTCAGGAAAATATGTGACCGGGTGATAGACAATTGTGTTTGAAAAATCCGTACAAACTAAGAGATATATAAATTGTACAGAGTCCCACCCATAGTCGCAACAACAATAAAAAAAAGGCAGCCTGCGCTGGACAGGACACATTGAAAAGATGCTGATTTGTAAAGAGGCAAAAGTGATTTACAGGCAGAAAACTAGGGGCCGACGGCTCATCGGTTGACCAAGACTGAGATGGATCGAATTTGTAGAAAAGGACTTACACCAGCTGGGGTTTCGCGCATGAAGGCGGAAAGCCATGGATCCATACGAATGGGCTGTAGCGCCACTGATGATGGTGTCCGAATGGAAGGATAAGATGGAGCAGGCCAGGGCCCTACTTGGGCTGTAGCGCCACTGATGATGATGTCCGAATGGAAGGATAAGATGGAGCAGGCCAGGGCCCTACTTGGGATGTAGCGCCACTGATGATGATGTCTGAATGAAATGATAAGATGGAGCAGGCCAGGGCCCTGCTTGGACTGTAGCGCCACTCATGATGAAGATGATGATGATAAATTTTCAAGACAAACATGCATTCAAGTAATGCATTTCATAAAAATGCATCAATGAGTGCTAACTTCTGGGAATTTTATTTTGTACGCCTACCGAACACAACCATAACATATACACAAACATACAAACACAGAGACTTCTTTGTGATTGTTATATAAAATAAATAATACACAATTTCATTAACATTTTTTGTAGTATAACATTTTTAAGGTAAGAGTAGCAGGGAATAATATGATTGAACTAAAAGTTTATAATTACTGCACTGTGAAGTAAGAAGTTCAAAGTTACTGTAAAGTAACACATTTAGAGTTACACTGAAGTATGAATTTTAGAGTTACTGTGAAGTAAGAAGCTTAGAATAATGTGAAGTATGAAGTTGTGAAGTAAAAACTTTAGATTTACTATGAGGTAAGAAGTTTAGAGTCAAAAGTTAATTTCTGGCACGTTTGGTGTTTCCTGTTCACTTTACAATCACTTGACAATCACTTGACAATCACCTAAAATTCACATCAACATAAACTAAGAAAACAGACGACAAGGTTACTTAACGAATTTATTTTACAATAAAAATTTACAAAACATTCCATCTGTCATCCCCCGCTAGCAGCCATTGTTTCTCTCACACAGGACGTACGCAATTATTATGTACAGTAGAGCGTCTATTTTCCGAATGTCGATAATACGAAACCTCGGCTATCCGAATGTCCAATGTTTAAATTTTAAAAATAAAACCAACAACTTAGTCTCTTACGTACCAGGCATGGCAGGAAGCATTGGTGTACAAACACCAGTAAGCCACATTGACCCTTATCGCGGGATGCAGGTCAAATAAACTATCCTGACTGACCCTTATCGCATAATCCAGGTCAAATAACCCATGCTGGCTGACCCCTATCGCAGAAACCAGGTCAAATAACCTATCCTGGCTTACCCCTGTCGCAGAATCCACGTCAAATAAACCATCCTGGCTGACCCCTGTCGCAGAATCCAGGTCAAATAGACTATCCTGGCTGATCCCTATCGCAGAATCCAGGTCAAATAAACTATCCTGGATGATCCCTATCGCAGAATCCAGGTCAAATAAACTATCCTGGCTGATCCCTATCGCAGAATCCAGGTCAAATAAACTATTCTGGCTGATCCCTATCGCAGAATCCAGGTCAAATAAACTATCCTGGCTGATCCCTATCGCAGAATCCAGGTCAAATAGACTATCCTGGCTGATCCCTATCGCAGAATCCAGGTCAAATAAACCATCCTGGCTGACCCCTATCGCAGAATCCAGGTCAAATAGACTATCCTGGCTGATCCCTATCGCAGAATCCAGGTCAAATAAACTATCCTGGCTGATCCCTATCGCAGAATCCAGGTCAAATAGACTATCCTGGCTGACCCCTATCGCAGAATTCAGGTCAAATAACCCATCCTGGTTGACCTCTATCGCAGAATGCAGGTCAAAGAAAGGTACGTACTGTACATGCAGTGACCAGATTGGGTTGATACTACGTACTGTACATGCAGTGTCCATACTGGGTTGACACGCTTTGCAAACTTGCTCATTAATGTTTTCCGCAGAACACACGCCTGCAAAGTGACCTCGGATTTTATTCTAAGCATCAGTCATCTATTTTTGGAAACGACATTCGCAGAAAAATAAATTCCACAGCCCTCACCGGGTTTTTAAATCAATCAGATGACTCACCCTTAATCAGTTATTTCCACCATTTCCCCGTGTGATGGGGTTATAAAAGCAACATACATATATAACTTAAAGGAAAGAAAAGATTATACTCTGGTCTTACTTCTTTAAAGTGACGTGTCCTGCTGGACGATTCATCTGGACCGTTTTGTTCGGAAAATTGACGATCTACTGTTATTTAAAAATTCTTAAACTTCTTTAGATACTTATGATACTTAATACTAATTTAAAATGTACAAAATTCATGGTGAATATAGTTAAAAACTACAAACTTCATTGAAGTAGTGGCACATCTAGAGTGCCGTGACGGGGGCGGCCGGGTTTAGGGTAGTACATTTGGCATTTATGTATTAAATTTATAAATCTTTTCTAAGTGTTCGGGAGGGGGGGGGGGTTACACTTTTGGGCATTCACCCAGAATGGCTTTTTTAAAAGTCAAAGTACGCCACTGCATTAAGACACTAACTTAATAGCTGCTACTGATCTTAAAAACGCGTTTGAACCAAATCATTGTGCTGAAATGCCTAAAATGTCGCAGCTCACAAATATTTCTTTAAACAGACAATCCAAATGTAACAATCTCGCAGTTGGCCGATGGTTTGGTTACACAGACACACTCATAAAATGGCTCCTAATTTTAAGGTCAACTAATTTTTATTTTAGAATAATAACAAAATGTCAGCTCTAAGGCTTCAAGCGTACAACTGGATCAACCATTCATTTATTATCCTTAACAAAACATCAATACAAACACTGAAATATTATTCAACTACTTTTAGATTCATCAAATATCAATTCATTAGCCAGACCCCTTTCAAGGGGACATAATAAACTGATAATGACGTCATTAAATGCAACAACATAAAACAAAAATTAATATTTTCAATCATCAGAAATGTGAAAAATACGCTAGTTCATTCTAAAAAGTATTTCTATATTTCATTATCTCAGAAATATATATATTAGATTTGAATAATGTCAGATCAGACATGGGACAATTTACAAGTGAACAAAATGGATTTCAGAAAATTAAAAAACAAAAAACAAAAACTTTCAATGTTCAAAAAATTAAATTATGAAACAACAATAAATATTATTAAAATAAAATCAACACTTCGCCATCTAAAAACATTTAAAGCTTTCGAAATAAAAATTTAAAAAAAAAAAAGAAAGAAAATGTCTTCAAATTTTTACGTTTTCAAAAAGTCATCAAGAACATTTGTGATCATCAACTTCTCACCTTCCAACTCACAATTTGTCTAAAAATAAAAATAAAACAACAACAACAGATATTTGGAAATGACTATAACCCTTAACCTCATGAGTCATCGGCAGCAGCACACGACTTGCAGCACATCCGTTGGTAGTAGCGGTAGCGACACAGACGTGCTCGCTGGACGACTGCACATTGTTGCGATTTATCTTCACAGCTTTTATCTGTAGGACGTAGAGCAAATGTTGGCGTAACAGAAGGTTTGGGTGTATCAAAACGCTATCTTTATACTTTACATTGTTATGTGTTCTTTGACTTGAATTCAGTTTTATTGGCCTACGTGTGATTGGTCGAAATGAAAGGACACTATAAAGCACTCTTGACGTTTGGCTCCGGAATGAGTGACTTCCCTTTTGTTTATTTTTTTTAAATTGTTGCCAGAGTTAACTTTTCTTTTCTTTATTTTAAACTAAATAATATACATTTGACTATAAAGTTGAGGCAAAGAAATAAGTATTAATACAAACGAATTCAATTAGTATTATTTTTAAAAAGCTTAAGTTAAGAACCAGCATTGCGAGAAATTTATTTTATCAGGGGTTAAGTTAAAGATCATGATAGCTATTTACTTTCAAGAGCAATACTGCTGTTGGTCACACTTGAGGCTGTGACAGGACTACACTGGTGAGTATTGCAGGGATCCCTGGTCTTCGGGCGGTTGTCTAACGGACAGGTATCATCGGGCTGCTGGACGTTATTCAGGCATTTAACTTCTCTAGTTCTGTAGCCTGTCCCACAAGTTTGAGAGCACTGTTTGGAGGGGAAACAATCTAACTTAGCCTGCATGTAGGATAAGTGAGAGGAATGGTGTTGTCATGAGGGGAATGGTGTTGTCATGGGGTGAATGATGTTGTCATGAAGGAAATGGTGATGACATGATGGGGATGGTGTCATCATGAGGGTATTGTGTTGTCATGGGGTTGTCATGAGGAAAATGGTATTGTCATGATGGGGATGGTGTGGTCATGAGGGGAATTGTGTTGTCATGAAGA